TTGAGGATGGCCATATTGGAGAGGAGTATAATATTCAGGACAAGTTTAATTTGAGGATGGCCATATTGGAGAGGAGTATAATATCCAGGACAAGTTTAATTTGAGGACAAATATGATGTTAGGATAATAGTATAATATTAGGAGCGTAAGTAAAATGTTTTAGAACCAGTATCATACTGGGGATGAATATGAAACTGACAAGTGCAAGTCTGCTACTGAAGACAAGTATATTGGAGAAGAGCATGATATAAATGTGAGGATAAGTATAATACTTGTGGTGTGAACATTATTATGATATTAACACTATATGATTAAACACTTTGAAAATTATAATGACATCATATATATAAAGTATGGTTATGGTGGAGGGTTTGTTGAATTTCGAAACATGAATATAATCTGAAAAGGCTGGAGGCATGAGCGAAATAGGGACTTTTCGAAGCACCCTGTTCCCTTATACACTCACTCTGTGCCCTGCCCCAAGAAAGGGGTTGTTGCTGATCATCAATTTATCAAGATGGATTAATATTTTAATGGCCTTAAAATTCAATTAAATTAACATGTTAACCTTTATTGGAGATTTAATTCATTAAATGTGTCAAGTTACACTGATTAAATTATAACATTTATCAGATGACATATATAAATTTGTGTCAAAATGAAAATATATTTCAACATTTGATTTATGACCAACAACCCAGATTGTATGTAATTCTATATATTTTGCTATTGATCTAGTGATCAAATAGAATAGAGCCCGTCCATGTTATCTGGTATACTGCAGTGTTATCTTAGTTACACACCATTTAACGATATGGTCTAATGACAGACAACACATACTCAATACTGTCATAATTAATATACCATATACCTCCGAATATAGGTATACTCACATGTATAAAGGTAACCTAATGAATTATTGATTATAAGCGAGAAAATCATAACAGCCCTGTATATTAGCTTAAATAATTAGAACTATTCGAAATCAAGTTTGAATGAAAAGTAAAAGTCCATTCATGGCGACACACCAACATGTATTCAATATATATGTATACAGTAAATATATACATAAGGAGGGCACCTGTAGAGCGCTAATTGGTACAGTAATCAAAATCACAGCTGATATATAGTTACAAAGCTAAGACAGGTAAAAACGATCAACTGGTCGGTGGTCAAGTTTGCTCCAGAAGTAAATAAACATACTACCTGTTAAACACGGTTACATCCATACAGAATTACATTTAAATCGTGTATCTGATCGGAGCGTTCACAGTTGACACACGGGTCTTATAACGTGGGAGTCCCAATGCCTAACCGAGTCACGTGATACAAACGTCGCTACGGTGATATCGCTAGCCTCGTTTACACGCGGGATTGGATCGTTCAAACGGATCTGATTACGTCCCGAGACAAGGTCGGAGTTTATTTATAATTAGGCGTATATTCAATGGTTCATGAAATCACCGGTAAATTACTGGTAAACTGACATTATATTGTTACACAGACCAAATGCAAATCACATGTATTGCCTAGGTTTAGACTAGGGTATTTAAATGTCGGTTAGAAATTAAAATAAAAGAAGCGCCTAATGTTGCGTTAATTACACCTTTTATATGAAATGAAATGATATTCTCGATCTGATGAGGATGAAGAGTTTTTTAAAAGACAATGACGACGATGATAATAAAAAGAAGCGGCCGGGTTAATTACTTGTGTTGAACAGGGATGTGTAATAATAATAAAAAAAAAAACATCTCAAGTTTGAGTAAATGCATATCACTGTTTTTGAGATGACGACGATAAAAAAAATGAAACAATTAATACAAGTAGTAATAATGAGCAAACTGAACCAGTTATCAGAATGGTCATCTTCTCACTGTTTCTATAGTTTTAAAGCATCAGTTAAAAAAGGCATTTGATATAAAAGAGCTCTCAAAAAAAAAAGTGAAACAAATACATATCAAAAGAGCGACAGGAGAATGGTACTCAGGTTGTAAAAAAAATAAGGTAGATATTGGTCGCTGAATTAATCGGCGAAAACCGATAATTGAACTTTCTATCTTTTAACTGATGAAATTATGTGGGCTTTTAAACGGATATGACAGATAACATTACCGGTCATATGAATAATAAATTGTACAAAAACAACCTTTGAACAAGAATAGAGATAATCCAAAGTCCTTCATCTGCACACGTTACACCTTAAATCGGTCAAAGATAGGGATTATTTGTTTAAACTTTTATTTATTTTTAACTATGTCTCTCTTTTTTTTTTTTTTTTGCAAATTTCACGCTTATATTGTCAAATGTCCCTCCCCACCCTCCTTCACAACCAGCACTCTTAATTCTTTTATAAATACAATGGTTTTACGGTACCATGACCAACCTTTTAACACTTTCTTCCTTCGATCGATGAAAAGACCCTAGTCCGTACCTGTGTAGAAACAAGTTTAATGAAGGACGAGTAATCTCCCTTTAACGGTGTGACCACAACCATTGGAATGTCGATACCTCAGTCCGCCCTTCTTGTTTGCACCAGAGACGTATAAAGCCATGTTATATACGTCTCTGTGTGCACTAATTCATGTCAATTCCTTTTTAAACTATGGTAATCTTTGACCAGATTTGTTGGTATGCATTAAAATTGTCCCACATGCAGGATATGATTAAAAAGTAAAAACGATTCAGATATAATAGAATGACGTTTTTTGGAACCTCCAGTGATCATCCGTAGGAACCTAGCTCACTCAGGGGACAAAATGCGGAATTGCACTTGTCTTGGTAGTGACACAAGATTTGGGGACGGTTGTATACAAAAACTAAATCCCTTTAACTCTTGTGACACACCCTTTTAGATGGAGATCCCGATGGTATATAATTCCCAACCAATATAACTAACCCAATGAGAACCAACGTTATTTTCATTTCAAATGAACTGAAAATTGATAACCAGTTATTAAGTTTAAGAGATTGTTATATAAAAGGGAAATGGAGTAACCATTTTAAAACGACATATTTGTGAAGAAAAATATAATGAAAGGTAAGATATACACTTAAGCATAATACCATATGATTATAAAAAAATTATATTTTTTACTACATTTATTTTACATGTAGTTGAGTATGCTTGCGGGATGGATGCAATATGCTTGAGATTATTGGAAAAGACCAAATGTGAAGCGACTCGAGTTCATTTTTCGTCATTTTTAATAGCAAGTCTCCGACCATGGGATGAACTAAACCATACCTGTAAATTTTCCCTTTCTTTGTGATTAAAAAAAAACTAAAAAAACCTTTCAGATTTAAAGCAGTTTACCGTAAGTACAATCTCCAAAATATTGTGAATTCGATGATACACATGCGAAGTTGTGTCACAAAAGCAGTTCTCTTATATTTTTCGTGCGTTAATCTTATAGATACCCCCGAATTCACTTTTATTAACTGACCAAAGAAAGTTGTATTATACTTCATGTTAAATGAGGATTGTTTCAAACAGTCATATCTGTATTTTGAAAAGTTTCACTGCGCATTAAACATCATTAGCAGATTTATTCCAAAGTCCAACAGGTATTGTACTCTTATTTTTATTTTTATTTACCGATCGTGGTCAGATATGCTGCATCCACGGACTTAGATAATCTAATTCGGTGGCTGTATCTTATCTTTCCCTCCAGTACGTTGGTGGGGGCCGTATCAGGACAGGTGAACTGTTTACCTTTGCCGAGTGCACACCACACGTACTGGAATGTATATATGTTTGCGGGTAGTTATGACGACACAAGTGTAATCCCTGTGGTACCACTGATCGGCCACGGTTGGTGGGCGGTCACGCTCTAGTTTCACTTTGGAGATCGGACACGAGACCCTTAAAAATGGAGTTCTTTTGACTGTTAAACTTCCGAAACAAATTACGGTTGTGATACCGATGGCTACCCAAGGATATTCGTTGACCAGCACAGCCGTGTGTCCATGGAACGTCCTGAATATCTACCGGGTAAGTTCAATCAGTCTGTCCAATATTGATTATGCCACTGACCGGTATATTTTGATAACCAAATTGCAAGATGCGTGTTTAGTAGGATACACATGGACAGGTACGTAATTGTATCAATGTATAAACATGTACCTGGGGGTCGGTATTTCGTAATGTGGTTCACATGTACACTTGACCTACATAAAAATGGGTTACCACACATGTATATGGCGTTTAGTCTTTCTAAACAAATCTTAACATTTTGTCAAGCCTTGCACCGACTGGACATAGGTGATCTGAATGACCACGGTTGATGTTACGACATTTGGAATGAGTCATGTGGAACTTGTGTAAGTCTATGTGAGAATGTATGAAACAGGATGGCGTGAAAAATGGGAAGGGTGGAGGATCGAGCTTTTCACAGAGTTACCGTTCCTGTTCCATTTCAAGTGAATGGTAGGCTATACAACAGACTTAGATAATCTAATTCCGTGGCTTTACTAGGCCTGCTGAATTATTGGGAGATAGAAGGGTGGGTACCGATTTTTTTTAAATGTGTCGGGAGAGTTGCAGGGGTTAGGTTAATTAACGTTCGGAGACACACACATATAGCCTCGGGGATGCTGTAACGTAACTACACAACCTCAGTATAACTAATTAAGGTACCCCTAACGAACCGTTCGACACTGACGTCCATCGTTTTCCTGGAATCTCTACTATTCGAGACCCTAGATCGTGGTATAAAATGTCTTGATCTCCAGAATTAAATCTTTCACTGCACGTTGAGCTTCAGCTTGGCCTCATAATTATGTTTTGCGAAGTGAAACTTGTTAACAACGAAACTTTGTAAGTTTGAACGCTGATATCATTAATAATATTCAAAATTATTGTATAATTAATATGATAATAAAGTTTTAAAGCCATGCATTAGGAAGAAATGCGTGTCATTTAGATATGGGGATCACGTGTAGACGGACTACGGAATGTCAAACGTGTGTCAGGTACACAAGATACATTTGTTACAGCTATATTTGGATCTAAAGTAAGGTGTTCAGAGTAATTTGGCATGTTTTTAAAACATGTAGAATTACTCTGAACATATCAGTTTAGGTCCAAATATAGCTGTAACACATTCTTATGTCCCTGTGATGCGGACTACAGAATGTACCCGCTCATGTATAGTATTAGACTATAGCTCGTTATCCTCCTACACCAAACCATAGACGTATAAAGTCATAAAAAGTATGTACGTCTCTGACCAAACGATATTGAACAATATGTACCAGTTACGCATTTTTTCCTGTTCTTGGTTTTGATATTACATTTTGCAGAGTGACCTGAGAATTCTCGTGTCAACCTACTCTTTAATACATGTATATACAGTATTCAAACGGTAAACAATAAGAAAATCCGATTAACTTGTGTCGGATGTATATTGTAAAGTGCGTGCATTACTGCATTAACTCCCCGCAAAGTACCTGTTGTCGCCATCCCACCTGTGGCAGTGACGTCACTTCTCTCCTACCTGTATAACAGCTGTGCGAAACACCAGCTGTCTTCTTCCCTTGTCTATTGATAACGGGGACTGATACATATTGTACTTACATGTACAAAGCGCCAATACCCATGTTGTACGTTCGCTGGTGAGGAACTCTAATAAGCGAATGGTCAACATTTAGGTCATATAGCTTGGACTTTACAACAGAAAGACGTCATCTAGACACGCACTGGACAACCACTTAAAACATTCAAGAAAATTAACAACAGCAAGACAAAACGGAATGGACTGAGTGAAATCTCAAGTACCACTCTCTGTCGCAACAAGGAAAGAGGAGCAGACTGGACGGCAACAGTTGTGTCAAAATTAATCAGACAGATTTAAGACGGAAATATTAACAGCAATGTAGACAATCAGAAAGGGTTATTCACAAAATATTATAAATATAAGACAGGCGGCAAAGTTTTGTGGATATACATTTTGACGTCACAAAAACATTTAAGGATTTTCACCATTAGGATGGTCACATCAGCCTTAGTATATTTTCTATACTTCATGTAATTATTCTTAAAATCATTGTGTGTACGTATTGCTGTGTCAAACATTTGACCACTCACTTTGGTATACTTGACAACAAGTTTGTGTGTGGGTATGGTCAGCCTCTGGACTATGCGGTATCTGTTAATCGTCCTTCTTGCTGAATTTGCGGCTGTAAGTACATTCAAAAGGGGTTAAATTAAAAGTGACCATGCATTTGATAGTATGGAAAGGTGGGATGGAATGTGTGTTTTTAATCATCTTATTCTAGAAAAAAGTGTTTTGCACAAATCCTCCTTGACTGTATATCTAATCCACAACCTGTTACACGAGGAAGACCAACCTTATTGTCATGCATGTGATAAACCATTTACAGTTAAACACTTTATGATTGAATGTGTTGATTTAAAATAGATACTTGATAGATTCTATACAAAGTACCGTCTATGAAAAGTTTATTTTATACAGTTTCTGTGCAATTAATATATGCCTATTCACACCCAATTGATCTTTACAATCAGACATGAAATATTTTACAACCACTTCGTTTGCTATTAATGTTCATTATTCGTGATTATTGTATATCTATAGGTACTTCTGTTTCCGGTTAAATGTCATCAATGGACATTGCATACATGTAGCTACAGACAGACGAGTGATCGATTGACGTGACTCACCGTACCGAATGTTGATACTGCGTATATATTTCATTCATGTCGGTTCATATTTCATCACGCCATACAACAGATGCCTGTATCTGTCAACTGACTGAACATTTTATAAAAAAAACATACATCGACTTTGGAATCCAATACCGCATTTTTGTCATACCGTTGTCTTTTTTTTTCTTCCGAGTCCTGTTTGAACGTCTTTACTTAAAGTAATAATGAAATCTGCTAAGTTAAAGTGATACAGTATACTGGACAATTTATATAAATGTTTTGTAGTCAGACTTTATCATTCACATATACAACATATGGGATGCAATATATGTCTCGACCATGTTGTTGCACGAGACAAAACATGATACATTCAATGCAATTATTTATACAAAAGTGGTTTTATTACATTGGCATCCTTTCTGTGTTTGATAGGTGCCGCAACCTGCCTGCTGCCCAGTACTGGACAAAAATGATACATCCATTGACCAACACATTACGTCACTAGAAGCAGAATGGAAACAGAAACTTCAGTCGTTTGGTGAGCGCTATTGTATTTATTCAAATCTAACCTGATGTGGACATTATCTTAGTTATAATGAACAGCATCATTGCGTTTATTATGGTGGAATATGATACGACAGTGAAAACATATTAACGAATGCCCCCTCTGCATTTGTAAATCATTTTTAAATCGAATCCCGATTTATATATCTCACATCAATATGCAAACAGATGTTGATTATATCTATTCTACCACATGAAAATGTAAATGAGTGTGCTTTCGTGTCCTCTTCAGTTCCTATAAAGCAATGTGACCTAGAAAATGTAATTATGCAAACATTTGTCACGTGATGCATTGTTTTCATTCACAAACAAGCCGATGTCACATCTCAGCTGCAGCTGATGTAATAATTCCTGGAGGCTAAGCCAACGGCCCGGTTCTGCCAGATTAATGTTTATGTATGTTGAAACTTAGAGAGGTACAGGCACGCAATCAAAGTCATTTCACATACGTCTCAATGGTTTACATTTTCAATACAAGGGAGGCTTTCGTTATAACAAGTGAAAAGTATCGTTACATCGCAAACGTTGTAAAATTAGATGTAATTCTATTTTGGTGTTTGTCTACTTGTCAATGGACCTTTTAGAGGGGGCCGCGGTGTGATCGCCCAGTGGTTAAAGGTGTCCAACCACACGCACAACGCCTATTTCATTTTTAATTTTGGTTGCTGGGATGGAATGGAGGGGGGCTCGAAGTTTAAGAGTTTGTTAAATTTTCATTGTAAGATGATTTCAGTTATATTTAAGGGGTTACCTTTCTATATGGAAATGTTCTTTTGATTTATATAAAGGCATAGAAATTGTTATTCGTTTTACCTTTAGCACAGCATATGAATCCTATATGGAAGGCAACCGTTCATACGCTATAACGAATATTTATTATTTGATCTTTTGCCCTTACACATGTCCTTACCGTGCTCCAACTCTTCTGTCCCCAATCGGTCGCGAGGATGTAGGGTTCCCTGCTCGACCACGTGGGTTTTCTCCGGATAACCTGGTTTCATCACACAGTAACACCCTCTGCGCACCTCAATTCCAGCCACCAACTTGTCGCAAAATTGGTGTATACTTTATAAAGACTATTTCAAACTGTTTTTTCTTGAAAAAGGAAAGAACTTGTCAATTGAAGCATATAGATATACATGACTAACGATGAAAAATAGGATCCATATTGAAGTATTGTCTATTCATAACCCGAAATACTTAAATAAAACCCCGTTTTCATCGATAATTAAAACTTGATATTTAATCTCTAAATATGCTAGTGCTGTGATATGACGTAAATATATTAACATATACTTTTTTATTTTCCGCTACATGAATAAGTCATTCAGGAAGATATTGATTGTAGATCAAATGCAGGGATATATGAGAGATAAAATCAATTTTATGTCTGTTTTTAGATATTAACATAAGTATATGCAAAACAAAACATAAATGCATAGATCTTTGATTGAAATAAACATATGATAAAATCTAACAGAAAAAAAACATGACGGGGTCGTCAACTTCACATTTTAAAGGAAGATTTCGGTAATACTTGTATATTATCTAAATGTAGGGTGTACTTATGTAGCCAGTAGTTTTTATACTGTTGAACACTATTCAAAATAGTATTTAGCTCATCAGTCCCCTCCTCCCGTACTACCAGGAAACGTTTGCACTCCAGTCGTCAATTCGTCTGATCGTCCGTACTTTACCTCTTGGGATCTTGGGACAGCGGAGTCTTAAAATCGGGTCTCGTACTGTTTTATATTCAAAACTATGGCTATTTGTTTACCCGAACCACTTCGAGGGGAATATATCATTTACTCTGTCAACTTACATTGTCAAATATTGCATGCGAGTACCTGTTGTTATGGCGGACTGTACACGTAGCGTACTGAAATCGGGACTCGGCATTCGACTACTTGTATATACATAGTTATGTCCCTTTGTTCATTGCAAATCATCTTGGTTGGGACAAATTTCATATACCCTGTCGCCTACAATTTCCACGTTCTGTATGTGATCACCCCTTCGGATGACAGAGTGTCACACCCTGAAGTATGGTCTTGTGACCGATTATATACAGAGTTATTGCTGTTTGCACTATTTTGATACCGGACAGTTTGTCTGGAGGTTTGGTGACTATCCTTTGCTCGCAACATATTTTGCCTTGTTCAAAAGTAGCATTGATTTAGTAAATAACCTTACACTGTTATCGTTTTTACAGAGAACTCCTTGCTGCTGAGCGTTGAAAGAAGAAGCCTAGCGTTGGCAGGTGTACTCGTGGCTATATCTATGGTTATGCTACTGATAGGCACCTGTTTCGTGTCGTGTAGATCAGACGAGGCACTAGCTCAGTACGAACCTTTATCCCAGGAAGAATGGGATAACCTATCGACCAGTATAATCAACGGCGACCAAGTGGATTTTAAAAATCTTCTTTATTCTGCAGCATTCCGAGAATCACCGGAAACGTAGTAGAAAATGGACATATCTTCCACTTATTCCGTCTTTGCGTATTGCAGAGTTATCTGCTCTTATGAGCAGGTATTGATTGTTACGTCATTTGTTTGTGAGAGTTACCTCATCAATGTTTGAGAAAACGACGTAATTTTTTCACACAAACCAATGACGTAACAATCAATACCTGCTCCCAAGAGAAGATAACTCTGCAATACGCAAAGACAGAATAGTCGTATGTTCATGCATTGTTTTAAAACACGGACACTTTTGATACTTTAAGTACTATCACAGTCATATATATTTTAATTTATTATTTCGATTCAAAAGCAATAGAGACTGACTATGAAAAGTTAGTGGTTAACTACAAACTGAATGTACTCTGGTTTATTATCTGTTTTAGTTTTTGCATTCTCGAAATTCCATGGGGCTACGATCTCTTACGTTCCCTGCACCATTGGCATATGACACGATAGTGAATATCGAGGGCTCTGCACGCGACATCTTGAGGACGATACTTATAGACTAGTTAGATCACTTTATGTACATCTGAAGAATCGCACGGCAGCATAACGGTAAAATTGAAGTCGAGTGTTGCTCCTCATTTAATTTCAAAGAACTGGTATCAACATATAGCGATTGATAAAAAAAAATTGGCCTGAAACCCAATCATATTAAAAACATATCTTTGATTCCACTCCGGTACTCCAGTCTACGTTTGACTGCAACGTAGAGTATAGAAGTGGAATCAAAGATCTGGTTTAAATCAGATTGGCCTGAAACCGATCAAATAGCTTACTGCTTGCCTTCGATAGTGTCATAATATATTCTAGGGGTGCTGAGAACATACATGAGCGTAACACTTGGAATTTCAAGGTTTTTTTTTTTTTTTTTTTTTTTTTTTTTTATATATTAAATATTTTTAGAAGTACCCTGGAGTTTTAACGAGGCTTGTATATATAGTGCAATGGATATTATACTAATACATGTTTATGGATGCAGTTGTTCCTCAGGGCAAAATCAAACAAAATTCGCTCAATGTTGATGTTTATAGTTGGTAAATGAACATGTTTTAAACCTGATAATATTGATGTAGTGTTAAATGATATTGCCTGTTTCGTTGATGTACTTCTTATTATAACCATATATCCTTACATTCTACTTTTCTTGAAAGATCGGCTTCAATTGAAATTTAAAAGTCTCAGCACGTAAAATGTTAACATTTACTACCGAAATAGTAATAAAGTCGTTTCACTCTTAGTTTGAACCTTTTCTAATTTACTGTCTTAAAGTTAATATCTAGTCAGCTGTTATCATCGGTCACCCTAATTCTGCGCTTCATTTGATTAAAAATATAATTCATATGTATTGATAAGGTAAATCAAATTAAGTTCAATTCAATTTATTCCAAAAGCAGTATAGCTTAACATACTTGTGTTAAACATATTTAATGAATTATATACAAGATACCGGAGGTTGTGGTACCTTTTATGAATTAATTAGACTATATCAACACAACGAAACCTTGTGGCCCGTGTGGTGTTTTGAAGGTATTACAGCTCTTTGGAAAGTTCTCTTGTTCTGTTAACGCTTTATTTAACCATGTTAAATATATTACAATGATAAAAAGCATGAGGATAAATAGTTACCAATGCGAAATACGTTCCTAAGGGAGGTAACCCCAGTAGACTTGCAATATCGCCAAGTGGATAACCTATTTATTCGTAGACTTCAAAACACCAGCCAAAGAATTCAGATCGTTACCAGTAAAACATTAATTATGTTATACATATACATATATGTTACGTGTGAAAACATTGCCAAATCGATTTTTATAAGAATATTATTGAATCGTTCTTTTTTTAAATAAACTACATAACGTCTTTTTTGGTTTTTGTTTTTCTTATTTTTTGGGGTTTTATTTGTTGGATAATCAATTAATGATATTTCTGAAATGATCAATTAGTGAAAGTTTGTCGCCAAAACCAGTTGTGTTCTGTTTGGCAGATTTGTAAAATGGCGGTTATATGTTGGTGGTACACGTACATGTAACTTCCAAACACTGGACACCAAATATGATAAACTCTCATCCTTAATTTCTCACCATCGCAATTATATTTTAGAAAGGGAGACATTAAAATTCGTCTAAGAGGAGAACTTGGACTAAAGTAAGAAGACGGACGTTATTACGGTATCTCAAGCTTCCATCAAATCAAAAAGAGTTGTGGGGTATACTCCAAATCCGTGGAATATGTCGAAACTATATAGCATTGATTAGGAGTTATTTCCCTTCCCTCGAGTGCTTTTTATAATGCTTTTGTGAGGTTTAATGAATAATAATAACAATTGGAGGTTTCTATATACCGCTTTATCACAACCTAGTTCGTAGGTCGTCTCGTCTCAAAGCGGTTCACAAATTATTATCCGTGGTTATAGGGCCTTTGGAACTAGCCACTACATTTCTCAACTCCCTGTGGAGCATACAGCCGGAGCTGCCATTTCGGCGCTAACAACTAGCATTCAACAATTCTAGCACTGCCAACCACGTACTCATTTACAGCTGAGTAGACTGGAACAAGCGGAGTAAAGTATCTTGCTCAAGGATACAACACATTGCCGTGCCGTGGCGCGAACCCGCAACCCTTCGGTCATGAGCCCGGCGTCCTACCACTGGACTACCGTGCCTTTGATGAAGAATGGTAGCCGGGAAGGATAAAACAATGATACTAAAAATAGCACTTTATATAGCGCCATATCCTGAAACTAGAAGCCGTAGAGCGCTCTACGAAACCAAAAAACCAAATATACATACATACAATACCTTTGAAATATGTTTAATCTTGAACCCCAAGAAAACACGTTCACACAGGATTGTTCTGAATATCAAAGTAACCTTACCGAATCAACAAAAAAACAAAGTAAACAGGCGTGTTTTCAGATTCCTCTAGAAAATTTCAAGACACTTTGAATGTCTCAAAAGACATGTACGGGTAGATTGTTCAACAATGTAGCGACTGATTTATCGAAGCGTGTACGTCTCTGTCTGAAGGTGACATTGCGTGTTCGCGGAACAACAAGTAATGTCTCTGTTTCCGAGCGTAAAGATCTACATGGCCTGTAAATGTTTATTGATTCCTAAAAGTAACACGGGGCCAGACCATTTAGGGATATGTACTCACCAGTATTTAATCTTGGGGAAAAGAAAGGGCCGAACTTTTGTATCAAATATATTTTCTGTCATTGAACACATATGGCTGCTGTCCGGTTAACCGAAATAGCCATAGTGTATAAGGTATCGAGAACATATGGACCCTATTTGATTTTTTTGATTTTTTACAAGAAACGACAAATTATTTCATTGCGTGATGAAGATCTATTTTAAGGAACTATGAAGGTTATTTTCTATTTCCACTAGCAAGTCTGTCGTTTCTTCCAATATCTGGGTATCAGCTAATTTGGTTCACTTTTGTATTTTGTTCATCTTATTATTTTCTCCCAAGTTCTAGCTTTTCTGGTGGCTATATTGATATTGATGGTTTGTTATCCCCAATAACGGAACTGTGATTTACGGTACATACTATCTATGGCGATTGTTTTAGGGTTACTATCTTAACATATGTACTTCGAGAATAATTTGTTTCTTTTAATCTCGAGTCTCCGCCTCCAGTTGTATTATCATTCCGCGGTGTTCGACATATTGAATTGTAACAGGAGAAAGGGAAACTGTAACGGCCAGACAGGGGTTCGAACACAGGACCTTCCAAACTTTAGACGGACACTTTACCAATTGAGCTACCGGGTCGCCGACGAGCGACCCAGTCTGGTTCCGCTACATTCCTCCCTCCTTTTTTCTCAGTCTCCGCCCCCGAGGACACAACTATTTAAGTACTCCCAATGCTTGACACAAGGGTTGGCAAGCTCGCCAATTTTGTAACAGGATAAAGAGAAAATGTAGCGGCTGGACAGGGGTTCGAACCTGGAACCTTTTTATCTCCAGACGGACGTTTTACCAATTGAGCTATCTGCTCGCCGACGATCGACCCAGTCTAGTTCCGCTGTTAAATATACAGGGTATGTAGTGACTTTTTTTCTGAACTTAACTGTACACAACGCTCATTTCACGATTGATTCCTCATTAATTACTTCAATTTCTTAACATTCAATATTACGAAGTTTGAGTACGCTGATTGTGTAACAATGTTTAAGTAAGCTCGACTTCGAAGATTTGCTCATAAAACGTTTTTATCCTTGCCCGATACATTTCAAGCAATAATTTATCGAGATACATTGCACATGTACAAATTAAGCAACCATATTTAAGCAAAATGATTGGTTTGAAAGATTGAAATATTTTGCCGACATTTATACAAAATATTACCCTACAGTTTTCGTTTTCCTTTTGAATAGCCTCTGTACGTTGTTCCGTTCCACGTTCGTAGTCTTTCTATGCCAGGAGAAGGGGTTGGGAAATTCCTTTTCTCAATAATTGGCGCAGAATTTGGTTCTCTAGCGCAACTTCTGATTTTAAATTTTAGATTCCAAAATTCATGACTGAGAGATTTTAAGATTTTGATTAACAAACTTAATACGAGTTACGCACGAGTTACACAACCTCCTAAGGCTCACAGCCAACTGACCAGTGGCGGGAGTGATTAGTACGAAACTGACCACCTAACATTCACGTAACAATGGACACTGATTGTACGGTCGAATTATGAACGGCACTAATATGCCTCCGTTCTCTTAATCCAGTCTGAATCGACAATAATTTCATAGAGCATGTCACAGTCGGTTGTCTTATGTAACATAATGACAGACGTCATGAATAAGTAATTTATTTGTTGATCAAAACTGCGGCACTTAACGACAGTACCTAAACGTCCGTGCTACCGTGCATTTCTACGGAAGATCTTAAGCAAACAATATGCAGTTTGTGATTACTCCTAAACTTGAAAGAAGACATCTTGGAGATTATCTTGGTGATTTAACAAAATTGCGTCGATCGCCCGCTGACTTTGCTCCCAGCCCCTTGTCGCTGTTACGTGGGTTTGAGGACACACATAGAAACGAGCACACATACGTCGACGACAAGGGGACATCTGTCAGTGAGGATGAAGGACTGGAGCTTTCCAGTGAGAATATATCCCATCCAGTTGACTGGGAACACAACTGTGCAAAAGAGGGGTGTCATCGAGTAAAAATCAACGTCAGCGGTCTTCAGTTCGAAACCCAATTGAAAACTCTGAATAGACTTCCTAATACTCTACTAGGAAACCCTTTCCTGCGAGAACGTTACTGGGATTTCAAACGGAAGGAGTACTTCTTTGACAGACATCGGCCAAGTTTTCAAGCAATTTTGTATTTCTACCAAAGCGGAGGCCGCCTGAAACGTCCTTATGAAGTGCCATTGGACGTGTTTATTGAGGAATTAAAATTCTTCGGATTCGACAAAGATATGATGGATGAATATAAACAGTCAGAGGGCTGCATTCTGAAGAAAGAATGCCCCCTGCCAGAAAACAAAAAACTAAAAGCAATATGGCAATTGTTTGAACACCCGAGCAGTTCTATCGGCGCCAGATTGATGTCCGTTCTATCAGTTGGGTTTATTCTTCTGTCTATTGGTACTTTCTGTATGGAAACCGTACCAGAATTTGCCAGCGACACCTGTGTGTACACGAATATTAATCTTACAGAAAATAATTCATCCAAGCAGAATAAACTCCCCACCGTAACCATCAACTACGGAGACCATTTTTTCATCATGGAGAGTGTGTGTGTGGCCTGGTTTATTTTTGAACTGTTGATGCGATTTATCTCATGTCCCTCAAAACGTTCCTTCATCAAACACATCCTCCACTGGGTGGACTTAGTGTCTGTTCTTCCTCACTTGGTATTTGTAGGAACCTACTGCCTCTCCGGCGTCTGTATAGATTCCCATGCAAGCAATGCTGTAGCCGTTCTCAGGATTTTACGAGTGACGCGTGTACTTAAACTCGGTAAACATTCGGAGGGTTTACAGATCCTTGCTTTGACTATTGCCAACAGTTTTAAAGAACTCCTCACGTTCGTCGCATTCTTGGCTTTTGGGGTGGTGATATTCTCTGCGGCGATGTTTCACAGTGAACGATTCGTAGAAGGCACTCATTTTGAAAGTATCCCGGGCACTTTCTGGTGGTCGGTTGTCTCCATGACAACGGTGGGATACGGGGACATGTTTCCCCAGGGGACAGCCGGTAAAATTGTCGGGACTTTTACTGTCATTGGCGGTATTCTGACCATCGCCCTCCCTGTTCCGATTGTTGTGACAAACTTTAACTGTCTCTACAACTCGTACAAAAGTAGAGCGTCCATGTACTGAGATGCTTAGGAGATAACTGTCCCCTTCCCCACAACGAGAGGCTAGCCATATGTACACGGAGGAGAAAAGCAAATTTTAAGAACATTTGAATGTTTTTCAATTTTTCACATAAAGTTTAGGGTGTTTTCCCGGGTTTTTTTTTAGATTTTATTTATTTATATTATCTTTACTTCTTTAATTGAATGTAGCTCAAACATTAATGTACAAATATATCGAAGTTCAATCTACCACTATTAGGATCAGTCATTGATTTTTAAGCGTGAAAGTATGCAATATATAAATAGCTTACATATTGAGCGTAATTGTATATTATCATGTAACTAAGCTATGCAGATTTACACAAAATTAAGTACTAGACACCGAATTGTTACATAGGGCCGATAGGCTGGATTATCGTCACGAGTAGACTAGTAGGATAACCTTGCTGATACTAAATAGTAACCATATAGGGCTCGAAGACATTCCGTAATACCTATGCAGGGATATAGACGTTACTAATGTAACACCACAAGGAAGCAATGCCCTTGGTAAGGCTAAACGATGCATAAATATAGCCCGTATTAGGGCTTCACACGTAAAACGTATTAACGTACTAAACAGAACCCAGCTGCAGGTAGGCCCATAGGAACATGCCCAAGACAACACTTCAGAAATGAGTTATGATGACGTACTAGATATGACCCGGATATGACTTGAGAAGCAAGATAATGTGACAATCTAATTAAAATCTTATTCGAATTCCCGTCTACGATGTAAGACAGACAGACAGACAGACATTCTTCGTAGTATCTTCCAGTATCGTAGAGGAACGGGAATTCGGATATGATTTTAATAAGATTGGATAATGTGATGACGTACTTAACGGTAAAGCTAGATCATAAACACGGACAAGATCTGAGTATTTTAGGGAATATAACAAAGAATATGGCTAGATTACTTCAGATAACAATATTTATGGCAGTTTCCCATACGTTTGGTTGTAAGTGCTTTCTATCGATACGTGTATTGCAAGACTATAATAACTAGTTGTCTCCCTTTCCACGTCAATGAACACTAATTTAGAAAACCTAAAGAAGGATAAAATGCTCCTGTATATAAGCTTTTTAATTTTCGTTTGTCTGCTTTGTTTCTGCGATTCTATAATAAAATAAAAGTGGAGCACACACATCATTTTAAATTCCATAAGGGTCTCTACACATACGTAGTTGCGATAACCTAGCTTTCTGAGACCAGTTTTTTTTTTTTATATATATTGCGTCGTCAGAGGAGGCCGGGTATTAATATTAGTACTAAAACATACGCAGTATTCATACTAATTCCAACATGGAATGGTGACTATGTTGTATTTAAAGCAGGCACAGATAGGAAGAGAGAAGGATAATGTGCGAGGCTTGCAAAATAGGATATTGCATTTTTTTGAGAAATAATATCAAAAAAGGGGTTAAATTTGGACAGACTGACGCCGGACCAGGGATGAAAAGCGATTTAAACAGCCCACCATATTTATGATGATGGAGAGCTGAAATAAAGTATTATAAAAAACAACAACATTGTTATGGATGGTTCATTAGCAGTGATGTAATGACCGATATTGCTTCTGTCATATCAAATAAACAAGGCAAAAGTGCTTTATCAAATATAACAGTTATTTGTTACATAGCTTTTAAGAACGAGAACAAAATATATGTACTATACTGTCAAGTGATTTTCGAAACCTTTCATTTTAAGATTTCTCTTACGCTGGACAGGCAAATTCATGATTTTCCCGGCATGGAAGTTCCTGGTCCAATACTAGGGTAAGACATCTGGTACATTGACGTTTTCCTAAAAAAAAAACAGGTAAATATCGTCACCTTATACAAGCAGACCATATCTTGGCATACGCAAATTTTGTTTTTTGCTTTTGTTTTTACCGAAACAGTTCCATTTTAGAGGTGGGAGAAAATGGTCATATCCCACTTTAATGGAGAAAAAAATATTATCATTCGCCCCTTTGATTTGCCGATCTCTTCCCAAGCTTGTTAATATTTTATTAATCTTACAGTTATGGAGGAAAAAGAAAATAGAAATGTATAAATATTTCGAAGTCTGGAGTTAGCTTTCTCCGGGTACTCCGGTTTCCTCCCACATTAAGACCCCCGCGCGCTAACATCCGGGCTAACAAGAGTGATTAATATAAGTTGAAATAACTTGCTTCATAATTGTTGTAAAATAAATTACGTTTATATAATATTTTAGCTTTCCCACAAATCTGTTAGACAGTGTTCTACAACAGGATGCCACAGGTGTGCTGTCCTCGCTGAGTGCTAGACACACACTTGTTTTATACACACACTTTTATTTATACGTTTGTAGTGCCCACAGATGTATACATTCATATTATAAACTTTTATCTAATTTCACTGACACCTGAACTCTTACGAATATGTCGGTTTCGCAAACATTTCGTAAATCTGAATCGGGGTTATCTGTGGCCAGTTTATCCAGACACAGGTAACCAGGCCTAGACACGAGCAAAGAAAAGCAAAAGAGGAAACGAAACTGACACACAATATGTGTTGACAATTTGACCACATTTTACTTGATTATATTTCCGTGACATCTGAAAAAATGTCGTTGTTCTTGATCGAAACTGGCAGAGATTAAAAAAACTTGGAAACTGTGTCTTTGTAAGAACGCTTGCAACAGAAGATGTGGCGCTCGCCTTTTTCTATTGTGTTGCATAGTGTTACCGGTATCTCTGACATTTCGAAACCGTTTTTGCACAGAAAGAATTTAAAACTGCATCATTAAGTGACATACAAAATTACAATTTATAAAATTATCATCTACTGAACCGAAACGTTGGTGTGTTATTGGTTTCTTCCTTAAAAAGTCTTTTGAACTGAGGAAGGTGGGCTTGCAACGCGCCAACTGTCAATATTATGCCTATATATATAGTTCTTGTTAAAGGTGTATGCTTATTTGAAGTTCAATCAATATGATATGATCTTGTTTTGATGAGAAAGGCCATTGAGTTAGATTAAATTGAATAAAATTTCACAGATATTTTGAAGCTAAATAAGTTACAAGCGAGTAGATCTAATCTTCTCAGTTTTAACGACTGCTAAATTGTCGTACAGGAATCACGTATTTCTTTTGATCCTTCAATTTAAGGATGTTGATAAGATTTTCTTTATCTGATAGACTAATATTTATTCTAATCAGATACATATATGTAACAATGTGATATTTACGTCTCTGTTTTGATATTGACGACAAATATATATTTTTTGGTTCAGTGGCTAGTGAAAGAAAATAAAAAATGTTCCTAATTTTCAACTACAAACTTACATACATGATTGTATCCTACATAATTAGAGTTCCTTAGGTATATTTAATTTTCTCGTTATTTACTGTCAGTTTAGTATATGTTAAACTTCTGTTTCGAATCAATATATACATGTCTAACATGTTACCATCATTTAGCGTCGCTTATCAATCAAGAAAGAGCTTTTTAAAGTTGAGAGGAATTTTAGATTTTAGATTTTGTTTTATTTTTGTCTTATTTTCTTCATGGTTACTAGTTAATGTAGAATTAAATAGTTAAATCTCATTTTCACTATGTCTTATGTAAAGTTTTATTAATCGAAAGAACCTCTTGAACCAGGTATAATTGTGACCACCAAAACTCGCTAATTCGCAGCATAGTTATCTTAATGTGAACTGAACGCATACACTTTATCTAGAATATTAAAGAATAAAAGTTGAAATTAAGAACTTAAATTATGTGTTTAGGGATTGAAAACGATAATTTGTATCTGTATATCTAACAAATATATTTAGATATTCAAGAAAACAATCTGTTAATGATTCGTTAAGCTGCTCAAACATTTAACATCTGGGTAATGAATGGTGCCGGAACTGAGCCTTGTCAACCCCTAACAGCAAAGATATGAACTTGACATAAAACGAAACAGCTCTATACCAATATAATGTCGTCTACATTATCACAGTGATGTCCTCTAGATATTACCACCGGGACCTGAGAATATTGTAAAGCTTTATTTGGACCCAAACTAAGGTGTTTTGAGTAATTTTACACGTTTGGGGAGTTTTGATAAATTTTTGATAAAAAAATCCCACTCCAAATGATGAAATATCATTTTTACCGAAAATTGATCTAAACCAACTCCACCCCCAACAATACAAATAATGATTACATCAATGGCATTCATCAGTTTGGAAATATGTGATATTAAAGATGTGTCAAAGCTTGATAAAGGGACCAGACGGTCTTGAAACGTTGCGAAACGTTTAATATGTACATTGTTGAATAGAAAGTAAAACTTCGATATTAAATTATTACGGTAAATCATCGGCGACAGCGACAGCGCTAGCGTTTAATCGGGACCCGACGGTACTTTCTCATTTACGGAAAGTGACGAAGGTTCCCGAGTGCGATAGCGATCCGAGTGTCCAAATAAACAATTATTGTTCCATTATTTTTTTTATATATATATATTACATGCCCAACGATCGTTTTAGACATGGGTGTTGAAAAACACGCAAAATGATATTAAAGTTAAGTACTTTGAAATGAGGAAAATGAATTCTTTGTATGACCTCTTGATTGAACACCACAGCGGCGATCTGCTGGTCACAATGCAGCACTTGGGATTTCTATCTTTACAGTTTCTCTTGACGCCAATAAGTCATTTTAGTATCCCGTTATCAAAGTAATGAGAAAGGGCCAAGTGTCATGCTGCCGTGTCAGGTTTTAGACAATCGGAAATACCTTAAAATGGCCTTCGGGTGGTCCTATAATATATGTGGACCATGTGGTCATTTGACCTAGTAGCAGTTGTGTGGCTTTATCATCATTATGAATCATTATCGTCATATAAGGATCAATAATCAGTGGACAGCATCGTCATATGAGCTTAACTGTTGGTCAGTTCTGTCTCCTGACTTGGTCAGGGGACAGAAAACGATCAACATTGAACTAGCGTTACACTACA